TCATAATTTATCAATATTTATTATGAATAAAAGCCTCTCTAATTACTGTAATCGTCTCTGAATGTTCCGTTTTGTTTTTTTTTTTCGTTCATCCAACAATGGAATTAGCAGCATCATTCATACCTGATACCAATATGAAACAAAACAACTCCATTTCTTCCTCTGATGACCACCAAAAAAATTACATTTCCCTATCACTGTATGCTTCTAACGAGCAAGGTAGCTCTTTTCGAATCAACTAATTCGTTTCGTAATCGTCGAGAAGAGACAGTAAATAAATTCCAAAAAAATTGATGATTGCAAGCTTATTCATTGAATATTAATTCGCTGATCAATATCTCGTCGCTGGTATTACCTATTGATATGACGATAAATTCAGAAATTTTACACCTCAATAATAGAGATAGCATTATTTTTCAACATTCTATTTGATCATAATCTTATTTGATTTTTGTGCATCAAGCATTGATGAGAAGAGCGAAAGATATCATCGAGTTCTGCATTGATGTGACATTCCCTAATAGATTACTTGCTTCTTTGATTGTATTTCAAGCCACACATATCTCCTCACTGACTATTGTAAATGACGTGAGTAAAGAATAATTATTTCAGTATGTTGGTTCCTCCTCTAATATAATATTGAGGAAATGATGAATTTTTATTTAGTAACTTATGAAAAAGCATTTCAGATTGACTTTTTAGAGTAGAATTGAGTCAATCGATGCTGACTAACAGTTCTCATGTTTGATTGAGCAGACAAACCAAAAAAAAAAATCAAAGCACAATTCAAAAACGTTCCTCAAGAATATGATATCCATCTATCACGTAACGGTGTACTCAATGAAATTATTCTTGTAATACTAATGATGTCAATAGTAAAATTAATTTTCATCCTCGAGCAATATATGCAATTCAAATTATAATCATCGGCTACTACTAAACAGATAAACTAACAACCAACCGATCGTTTTGAGATGAACACACCCCAGTCCTATGTGATACATTCACCGTTATCCTTTCCAATTTTTGTTGACGTTCCAAGTTATGCATCGAACTCAACCCACTTTGATGTTTCTTCAAATGTTATTGCTTCAAGTCTATCGATCGAATCTACATCAGCTGAACAATGAATTCTTTGCCGGTTGGTTTGAAGTGAATGAATGCGCTGCTGAAGTTCATTCCATTTTCTTCACGCACTTCCTTTTTCCTGTCTTATCATCTCTTCAATAACTTTTCTTCTCCCTACGAAAAAATCTCTGTGAATTAACGATAACACAATATTTCTAATTCCATATTGAAGGCGATATCTTCTTTCATCAGTAAATCGGTTATTCTTTCTAATTTATTCGACTCTTCCCATTACTATCAATTGTAATCTGTCCTCTTCAGCACATTCATTATCTTCTTTTCATAACTGAAGGCGAGCAGCTTTACCCAAACTAAATCTGTGGCATCCGTCTGCACATCATACAAGTCATGATGCTTAGGCTTGCAAACAGGTACACGCAAAGATTGACACGAGCACAGTTTCTTCTCCCTCTCACCATCGTGCTATGCGGGCAGAGACCTCCGCTGGAACAGGGTTCTCAAGCAAATTTTTGGACCAAGATTGCCCGCCGTGAGCGGAACCCCTCGATTCTGCCAGTCCTGATTGTCCAAAACAGACCGGAGGCCAAATTTTGTGAGAATGAATCGTACAATGGGAAATTTTTAAATGTATACGCATCTATGCATACTATATGCGCGTAAGTTTGTGCAACAGCACAATTATTATTTTGTTTATTTGAATGGATGTCATTCGAATAACAATTATTTATTTCAGCAGGCACGCATTCATCTCTAAATGATTCTCGTATTCTTGAGTAGCCGTTTCAAAAATCTAATTGCTCTTTGATTTTTATTTATTTCACTTCTAACTTTTGCCATCTCATCTCTGCTCAGATTTCATTCATTCAGTACAAGAAAGCATATTTTTGCTGCATTCATTTAATTGTCCACATCAGTAATGAGATCAAATAACTACTACTAGTTCAAAAATTAAGCTGGCTAAATATGAAATATTTCAGTTTGATGCTATTATTATTATTATTATTATTATTATTACTATTAT